CCACAGAACACAACTCCCAGGCCACATTTTGAATGCCCGGACCCAACTGTAGGCCACTTCGTGTTCGTCGTGCTCCCAGAACACCACTCCCAGGCCACATTTTGAATGCCCGGAACCAACTGTAGGCCACTTCTTGTTCTTCGTGTTCCCAGAACACCATTCCCAGGCCACATTTTGAACGCCATGAGCCAACTGTAGACCACTTCGTGTTTTTCATGTTCTCAGAACACCATTCCCAAGCTAATTTTGAATGCCCGGAGCCAACTGTACCGAGGCAAGCCGAGGCAGGCTGAGGCTGAGGTTGAGGCTGAGGCAGGCTGGGGCTGAGACAGGCTGAGGCTGAGGCTGAGGCTGAGGCTGAGGCTGAGGCTGAGGCTGAGGCTGAGGCAGGCTGAGGCTGAGGCAGGCTGAGGCTGAGGCCGAGGCACGCTCAGGCCGAGACAGGCTGAGGCTGATACTGAGGCTGAGGATGAAGCCGAGGCAGACCGAAGCTGAGACAAGGTGAGGCTGAATGGGGGGGGGGGAAGGGGGGGGGAGCAGGGGAGGCTGAGGCAGGCTGAGGCTGAGACAGGCTGAGGCCGAGGCAGGCTGAGGCTGAGGCTGAGGCAAGCCGAGGCAGGCTGAGGCTGAGGCTGAGGCTGAGGCTGAGGCAGGCTGACGCTGAGGCAGGCTGAGGCTGAGGCTGAGGCTGACGCAGGCTGAGGGCGAGGCAGGCTGAGGCTGAGGCTGAGGCAGGCTGAGGCTGAGGCCGAGGCAGGCTGAGGCTGAGGCTGAGGCAAGCCGAGGCAGGCTGAGGCTGAGGCTGAAACTGAGGCATGTTGAAGCATCCGTAGGAATCCATCGGAATCCTTAGGAATCCTTAGGAATCCTTAGGAATCCGTAGGCATCCTTAAGAATCCGTAGGCATAGTTAAGCATCTTCAGGAATCCTTAGGAATCCTTAGGATTCCATTGGATCCTAAGGCCGTTGCCACTGCGACTGTCATTGCGAATGCGACTGCGACTGCGAGAACAGCAGAATTCTACAACTGGATTCTCACCTAAATCTTAAGGGGAATGCTTCCAGATATGCTTATACACATCTCTGTTAGGTTGCTTTGCCGGGATAATTTTATCCCAGAGCAAGAATCTAAAAGAAAAACAAATAAAAAAAAATACAGCAACAAGACAAGAATAGAAATGCAAGAAGAAACGAAAGAAAAACAAACGAGATAATAGAGATACGAGAAAAAGACAAATTAAAAAGGAAAAGACATAGAAAAAAAGAAGAACAAGAAAAAAGCAGAAAAAAAAAAAAACGATAAACAAGCAGAAATAAAGTAGATCCCAGAAATGAAAAACAGAAAGACAAAACATCAGAAGAAAAAAAAAAAAAAAGAAAAAAAACAAATAAAACAGAAAAGAAAGAAGAGGAAAAATAAAGAACGTAAAGGTGATGGCCGCCAGATCCTCTGCGGGAGCAAGAATAAAAGAAAAAAAAGGAAAAAACAAGCCCGGCCTTAACGCACCGCCGGCAGCCCACTCGCGACTGGGGTGCTAACAATTGTCGCACTCGCACGATTGCCCCTACTCCGAACACCTCCCCCCCTTGCCGCCCCATCCCTCCCCCGCTCCCCCGCTCTTCCCTCCCTTCCGCCTACCATCTCGCATGACTCCCCTTTCCTCCCTAGCTTCCCCCCTTCGCTTCTCCTCTCATCCTCTCCCGCTCTCTCCGTGTACTTCGCACGCGCATGGCGGGAGACCTCCGCGACGCGAGCAACCCGACCCGCGCAACGTGCCGCGCATGGCGCGGCGCGGCGCGCTTGGGCAAGACCTTATACACGCACAGACCGGAGGTCCCGTGAGCGGCACCAGCAACGCAACGCCACGCCACGCACGCGGCACGACGCAGGCCGCGCACACGGCGCCGCGCACGCGGCACCGTACCCAAACACTGGTCACCTGGCGCGGCAGCACGTACGTGGCGCTGTTTGCACGGTACCGCGCCGGCACGCAGCACGACGCGCATCGAACTGTGCACCGCGCGCAAGGCACGCACGCGCACGCGAAAGAAGCACCGCGCAACACCGCGCCCGCAACTCCAGGCACACGACACCACAAATTCAACGTCGGCTGCAGAAGCGGCGGTGCGTTGGCGGCACCTCGCGTGCGGCGCCGCGAGGAAACGCCACAACCTCGGCGCCGACCGCGGGGCGCCGCGCGAACGGCACAACCCGCGCTGCACCGCGCACGCGGCACAGCACGCAACGCAGATGCCCAACTTGGGGTGCACGTCGGCAACGCGACAGCAGCTGATGAAAAAATCTCAACAAAAAAACAGAAAATACAAAAAACATCTGGCGGGGGATTTACAACATCGTTGCCAAAATCGGCTTGGGGGACGGGGCCTCATGCTCATGAGAAGGTCCCAGTGACGCAGTTCGATTCCGCATAGGAGCTCCGCCGAATGTCCCACTGGCGCCGTTCGCACGCGCCACCGCAACCCATTCCGGCTCGCCCCTCACGCGGTTCGCGGCCCCATAGGAGCTCCGCCGAAGGCCCCGGGGTCGCAGTTCGCAAGCGCCACCGCCACCCATGTCGGCACGCCCCTTCACGTGTTTCGTGGTCCCAGAGGAGCTCCGCTGAAAGCCCCAGGCGGCGCGGTTCGCATGCGCCCCTGCCGCCCATTTCGGCGCGCCCGTCGCCCGCCGCGTGGCCCCAGAGGAGCTCCGAAAAAAGCCCAAGTGGCACGATTGGCATGCGTCCCCGCCACCCATTCCGGCTCGCCCCTCGCATGTTTCGTGGCCCCATGGGAGCTCCGCCGAAGGTCCCAGTAGCGCAACTCGCATGCGCTCCAGCAACCCATTCCGGCACGCCCTTCGTGTTTCGTGGCCCCAGAGGAGCTCCGCCGAAGGCCCCAGTGGCACAGTTCGCACTCGCCCCCGCCACCCATTTCGGCGCGCCCCTTCACATGCTACGTGGCCCCATGGGAGCTCCGCCGACAGTGTCAGTGGCACAATTCGCATGCGTCCCAGGCACTCATGTCGGCACACCCCTCACACGTTTCGTGGCCCCATAGGAGCTCCGCCGAAGGTCCCAGTGGCACAGTTCGCACGCGTCCCCGCCAATGATTTCGGCACACCTCTCACGCGCTTTATGGCACCATTAGAACTCCACCGAAAGTCACACCGGCACAATCCGCATGCGTCCCCGCCACCCATGTCGGCACACCCCTCACGTGTTTCGTGGCCCCACATGGAGCTCCGCCGAAGGTCCCGCTGGCACATTTTACATGCGCCCCCGCCACCCATGTCGGCACATCGCTCACACGGTTCGTGGCCCCACATGGAGCTCCACCGAAGGTCACAGTGGCGCAGTTCGCATGCGACCCCGCCACCCATGTCGGCGAACCCCTCGCACGTTCCGTGGCCCCATAGGAAGCTCCACCGAAGGTCGCAGTGGCGCAGTTCGCATGCGTCCCCGCCACCCATGTCGGCGAACCCCTCGCACGTTTCGTGGCCTCATAGGGAGCTCCTCCGAAGGTCCCAGTGGTGCAATTTACATGCGCTCCCGCTAACCATTACGGTGCACCCCCCACGCGGTTCGTGGCCCCAGTGGTACAATTCAAATACGCCCCCGTCCCCCATGTTGGCACACCCTCCACATGTTTCGTGGCCCCACAAAGGGGCTCCGCCGAAGGCCCCAGTGGCGCAGTTGACCTGCTTCCCCGCAACCCATACCCATCACACGGCTCGTGGCCCCATAAAGGGGTTCCATCGAAGGTCCCAATGGCCTGCGCCCCCGTCACTCATTCCGGCACGCCCCACACACGGTTCGTGGCCCTATAGGGGGTCCCTCTGAAAGCCCCAGTGGCGCAACTGACCTGCGTCCCCGCCACCCATTTCGGCACAGCACTAACACGGCTCGTGGCCCCATAGAGGGCTCCGCCGAAGATCCCACTGGCACAATTGACACGCGCCCCCGCTGTTCATTTCGGCACGCCCCTCACACGGTTCGTGGCCCCCTATAGGGAACTTCACCGAAGACCCCAGGGGGTGCGTTCACATGCGTCCCAGGAATTCATTTCGGCACCCACCTCACATGGTTCGTGGCCCCATAGGGAGCTCCACCGAAGGCCCCAGGGAGTGCGTCCACATGCGTCCCAGGCACCCATTTCGGCACACCCCTTACACGATTCGTCTCATCGCCCTCGCGGCCCTCGCAGCTGCATATGGTTGGGTCCTTCGCCAGGCTAATGTTCTAAATGGGGTGGTTGTTGTGTGGCGTATAGTATTGCCCAGGTGATGGCTGCTAGCTCCACCTTTTGTGAGGTCGAAAGCCTGTACCGATGTCGCTGTGGATGCTGCTCGTGATGCTGCCCGTGTAGTATCCGCGCACGTTTGGTCTGTAGTCTTCGTACTTGAGCAGGACGAATGCCCATGCTGAATTGGGGCTGGTGGTTTGCAATGAACAATCTGGGTATTTGAGTCATGTGGTGCATGTGGGTAGCGGTCGGTTGTGCAATGTGAGCGTTGTGTGTGCAGCTGGGCGGAGTGTGATGTCGGAAAGGCCGCGTTGCATTGCTATGGTCCTGCTTGCGTCCTGGAGGGAAGCAAGAAGATGCGTCGGAATGTCTTGTCGGAGGTTATGGTACGTACTACGCGAATGGAGAGAGGAATGAATCGCACGTATCGCTATTTGGATGACGTCCACATGGGTCAAGCGTGGGATTCCGTAAACCAGGAGTCCTGTCCACTTGGGTCTGCTCAAGAGAAGTGTGTTGAATGAACCTGCTGTTTGCCACTGGGGCAAATTCGGCTGCTAATTTGTTGGTGCTAGAGACCTTGAAGTTGTTGTCGGCCTTGCGTCTAAGTCGTCGTTGCTCTAATGTTATTCCTCCTCGTCCTCGTCCTCGTCCTCGTCCACGTCCTCGTCCTCCTCGTCCTCCTCGTCCTCCTCGTCCTCCTCGTCGTCGTCCTCCTCCTCCTCCTCCTTCTCCTTGGGAAGCGGGGCGGCGGCGGCCTTCGGCGCGCCCATGGACGCCGCGGCCCGCTCGGCCCTTGCCTCGCCCAGCCGCGGCAGCGACAGGGAACGGGACTCGGCGGCCGCGCAAGCGCGCGCAGGGTGCAAGCCCCTCGCCCTGATGCCCCTCCTTCTCGGAAGCGGGGGGGCGGAGATGATGGGGGGGAGGCAGGGGATCGACTACACGACTACAAAACGAATCTACCCCGCAGATGATTTTCTCCTCGGAGTTACGCGACATACACAGAATGCGGTTCTCATTCTTACAACCGACAAACAATCAACCTTGGGATACATCCGTTCTTTAGTCGGTCCCCTATTTGAATGGTGGAGGAGGGGGAAGCAGGAGGGGGCAGCGTGGAGGAGGGAAGGGGGAAAGAGGGAGGGTGGACGAGAAGGGGGAATGAGGATAACGACGGCGATTGTAGACCCCGCCTGACGTTGCGAGCGCCTCACCCCCAAATCTTGCACAAGACGAGATCAATAAACCTGGAATGCGGCAGATGCACGTCGTGTGGACCCGCGGCGAACCACGCCGCTGTCCTTCAACGGTACACGCCGCCGGCGACCCAGAATCGGTCGATGTTGAACTGCCTGCCGTCTCGGAAGTGGCCGATCGTTCAAGGTTGAACGATCCCTGCGGTGTCGGAAACCAACGCCAAGATCGCCAAGACACGAACCTGCCGTCTTGCCCCCTCCATTTCGGATGGGGGGAGAAGGATGCGGAACGGCGAAGAAGGCCCAGACCAGTTCACGCCGAGGACCAAAAGTCGGGGCGTCATGTGTTTGTCCCACCATCCTGTGGTGTTGGGTCCCCGCTTTGAAGAGATGGCGCCCCGCGCCCCTTTTTCCTTCCTCCTCCCCCTCCTATGAACTTACCAACGCCCCCGGAATCCTTGATGGCAACAAGAATGATAAGCCAAAAGGACACCATATATGTGTTCCACACCGCTGGTGGGATGACTCAGGGGCCCTGAAAAAAGGTGTGGGCCAAAGTGCAATGGTACGCTCGCTAAGATACAGTCACGATCCGCACAATAGCACAATGTACAGCGTATACCTCACACCCGTGAAAAGGATCACACATAAGACGGGGAGAAGCCATCCCTTTTATCTGATACATGAAAGCTCAAGTTCCACTGATATTCCCCTTCTGCACGAACTGTATGAACAAACTGCACAAATATGAAGTGCAAACCTGCATCTGCAAACTGAGTATGGCATGCACAAGCTGCATACCTATGAAAAGCTAACATGCATCTGCAACCTGAATATGGCATGCACAAAATGTACAAGTATAAACTGCATAACTGGCAATAAAAAAAACTGAGCCTGCATCATCTGAGAGCTGCACCTGTGCGTTCTCTCATTCACTGCAGCCCTTCAGACTGTCGTTTGCTGCCTGGATGTAATCGTCCTGCCGCTCGCTGGCTTCGGCCGTCTCGCCGGAAACTTCGCCTGCGCGCTTGAAAACGTTCATCTTGTCACAAAGCCGCCACTGATCTCCTTGCAAACGGGAGGTCACCATACCCTGCACGCCGACAGTCCGCCGTCGCACCTGCTTGTGGTTGCTGCTCGCCTTCTTGAAGTGGATGATCGTCTCTTTGTCGATGCTGGTCGTCGCTGTCTCCTCGGTCGTCTCGCGCTTATTGCTGGTCTCGGTCTGGCACTTCACACTGGGGTCGTCTCAATGCGCCGCAAACTCTCGCCATGCATCTTAGACTGCTGCAGCTGCCACTGTCATTCCAATCGTTGTAAATGTTAATGCGTCCCACATGCCCCCAGAAAACCACGAACACTCCAAAATCTCGTTATAGTAGTATTTGTACTTGGTGTTGTAGTCGAACTTCGGGGCGTGGGTCGCCGCTGACTTGCAGCGCCACGTCGCGAAAACTGTCAACTGCATGAGTGGTGATCTCGCCTTAGTAACCGATGGCGTATCCATCTTGTTATTCCAAAGGATCTCCTGTCGTTCCTCCTTAGTCTGCTTCTTGGCTGCCGTATAGGTAGGGTCGCGATGTAGCTGAAGTCGCCCTGCTCGAAGTCTGTCTGCGAAGAGCTGCCTGGCCGCTAACTTCGCGAGACCATCTGCATACTGCCGTTCTGATGAGACCCAACTTCCACTGCGTCTGCGTAGCCTCCATCCGTTCTCGCAATGCAAATACCTCGATGCCGGTGCGCTTGTCTTGGAAGCTGGTGATGCTCTCCACCTTGGCTGCGCCCTAGAGCGCCTTCGCGCCTCGTCAACGTTGACGTTCGCGTCGTCGTAGACGCGGGCTGCCCAGAACCGTTTCGCAAATTCTAATGCATCCACGCCTGCTGCTGGTGCTAGGGGTCCTGCATGTAATGATGGCCCGGCTACTCTCGTCAACTTGAAAGACTTCCTAGCAAAAACGCAGCAATCTGAATTCTCGCCGTCAAGTACTTTCGAATGGCATGCCATGATCACGTGCCCTCCTTGACTAGATCCGTCTTGTCGTACTCCCCACGCTGCGTCCGTCATCGCCACGAGCGCGATGTCGCCGACCTTGCCAATCTTCCATCTTGAAGCAGACGCCCGCGCTCTGCTTGTAGAACCCTCGCGTCTTATTCACCTCTCTTGCTGTCGCCACTGTCACCGTTGGAAGCTGCACTTGGTGAATGCCGACGGATGCTGACGCGTGTGGGCATGCTTGCGAACTTGGCCACTGTGGAGCTCCAGGTAGTCCTCGAAGCTGTCGCATCTCCTTCGGCGTGAGTAGTCGGTCGTTGTTGCCGTCCTTCTGGTCACTCGTGATCGGCTTGAGGTTGAAAGCGTAGGACTGCATCTTGCCGTTGATCTCAGTGCCGTTGGAGTGCTTGTTGCCCCAGCAATGCTCCATTTTGTCCTCCTAACCACTTCCGAAACTTGAACTTGCTCTTGACTGCCTCGATCATGTTCCTGTAGTTGCTGCTGGGCCTGCGATCTCCTCCTCCGAGCATGTCGTCTACGTAGAGTAGGATACATCCGTCGCAGCTGCCGTCCTTGCCGTAACTAACGAAAAGACATGGGTCCAGGGGGTGCTGCGTGAGTCCGCTGGCCATGAGGTCGTCAACTGCTCGTTGCCACTAACGTCGCGGTGCGTCCACTTAACCGTGCATAGGCTTGATCAACTTCATGAGCGCGTCCTGTTCGATGCCCATGAAGTATGCTGCGCCTCGTCGCGCTTCGGCGTAAAGTACTCGTTCTTGCGGTCGTCCTGGTAGAAATGTGGTTGCCGCGTCTGCTGCCCGCAATCTCCATTCGTTGCTTGCCGCCAGTAACATTGACAACTGACGTCCCAATCGGGACGCTGTAGGTGATGCTGTCGGTGCCTTGCCGTCGAGTGCGTCTGGGTCGTTTAAGCCTTATAGCACTAAACGCGCCTTGGCCCTCGGTGTGCCGTCGCCGTTCTTGGTCCACTTCAGTGCCCACTTGGCCCTCAATATGCGCTCGGGGCATTCGTCTCCCGTAGGCTTATGAAACTCCCAAGCGTCGCTTCCGAAAAACTCCTCAAGCTCCTTCCGCTTGCCATCCATGAATACTGCTCGCTCGTGTGGTCTTATGGTCCTGGCACTGATCTCGGCGTATATCATTGAGCTTCGCGTCGTTGCCGCCGAACTCCCATCCGACCGGTAGGCCCTTGTCCTCGGGCATTGGCTGCGTGGCTGCGAGCTCGTCGTCTGCGCTGACATCTCCCACTGGCTGAGACTCTGCCGTTGGCACTGCTAACGGTAGTCCTCGATCTTCTCCTCCAGGTCGAACAAAATGGAAACTTCTGCTGCGCCCAGTCGCCTGCGTCTCTCCATTAACATCAAACTCGCCGCAATAAATGCTGGGGCCCGTGTCGATGAACTCGATGATGCCGCAGCCGCTTGCCCCAACGTAACCGGTGCTGGTTTTGGTGGTAGCAGCTGAACTGGAAGGGAGGGTGGTCGTGTCTGCGAGGACGGTGGAGCGGTTGGCTGCGCTGGTGATCCCATACACTGAGGTGGGGATGTCGGTGGTATCGGTCCTTGATATGGTTGTCCTTCGCTTGGGTGTCTCTCTTGTTGAGGCGTGCCTGGAACGTCCATTTGCTCGTCCTCTGCGGCGCCGGGCACCCCTGGACTGGGGGGGCGGCGGTGGTGCCATCTCCGTTGTTGCCAAAGCTGCTGCTCCAGTAGATGGCGTTCCCCTCTGTCGTTTTGGTGGCGGTTCGTCTCCTGGTCCATCGTCGCCGCGGATGTCCATGCGCAAGTCGCCTGGCGCGTCGAACGGTTGCTGTTGTGAGCTGACATCGTGGAACTGCGTAACTCTGGCCCTCCTCACGTTGCCGAGCGCCTCCTTGGCCTGCGTGGGGTTCTCCAGGAAAACGCACCCTCGATCGCTGGCATCTGGTCGAACGTGTTCTGGGGCACAACGTCGTAGGTTAGCGCCGTGCACGATCCAGTGGATAATCGGTCCACTCTCGCCCTGCCTCATCTCCTTGAGACCGCACTTGCGGGTCCCTTCCCCTTGTTCTCGATGAGCTCGTTGGCCTCGTCCTCTCTCCAGTAGTGGCGCCGCCGGCCGATCGCAAGGTCGCGCTCGAGGCAGCGCGACGCCGCTGCAGTGCACTTGGTATTTTTTGGCCGAGGCGTCCGCCTTCATAAGCGCTGTTGCTGCCACTGGCCTCCGCCCAAGTACGTCCGCAAGAAGCATCCTCCTTCGTCTAGCGCAGGGTCGCTGGCGATAACTTGTCGCTGGAGTTGGTCATGGTAGTAATCGGATCCATTCCCAAAACACACTGGCATGGTGAATGGCCCACTGTGAAAACCAACCGGTTGACCTGATGAGGTACATGAATACAAGCCTCCGCAATCAAATCCTCCGCAGTAGCCGCCCGGGCGCCACGGTGGATAACATCTGCGCAATCGAGCTCCACTGCCTCTCGAACAACCTGATGCCGGCGTTCCACCGCTCCTCTACTTGAATGCGCCTCGCTTGCTGCAGTGACGATAGGAATGCGATGCTGTTCTACAGACTGTGTAAAGCGATCTGAAGCACAGCCTGAACCATCGTCTGTCCGCAATTCTCCCATGGGTCCAAATTGCCT